TTCACTGATACTAGCACTGGAAAGCTTTCTCTCTCTACCCACCCAAGTCCATCTGTTCTGGGTCATGTGACCATGCTGATGTCACCCAATCTGTCTCCTCTCGGATGTCTGATTGGCTGCTGGGCTCTATATACATGCCGGCTGTCCAATAGCAGGCAGGATTAGGGGGATGTGGCTGAGGCAGCGGCTGCATCACCATCAGCCCTAGAGCAGCTCTGGCTCTGGTGCAGTAATCGCAGCTGACAGGAGAGGGGGATTGTGGGCCGGGCTGCCCTGAGACACAGCCCTCAGCTCAGCCCCTCTGGAAGGTTCTGTCAGTAAACAGAGCGCCACTGCACTCAGCTCTGAGCTGCTGTCTCTCTCAACCTCTCAGGCTGGGCTCTGAATGGAGTTCCCCAGCTTTCTCTTTCTCCTCTCCCTGCCCTTGTGCACCCGTCTCTCCCACCCTGTCCTTCTCTCCCTGCTCTCTGAATCCCCACAGAAAGCGTCTCAGCTGCCATCTGCAGTGATGTTCAAATGTATCCCTAGCCTCTTCAAACGCTGTCGCATTATCCTGATATTGCCTTTTGTTCCAATACAGAAGCCACTCGAATAATTGCGATGCGATAATGCAGGCGAAATGTCCACAGAAGAGATCTGGAAATCGGATAGGCAGCAGAGGTGCTTGTCTGCATGCCGGCGGCTTTCGCAGCCCTGTGTCAACATTGCGTTTATATTGTGCAGGCTGTGCCTGGCCCACTGCTGATGCATGACGTCTAGTGGAGCTCAGAAACGTCCTAGCCTGCAGAGTTTAACCCCTGAGCGACCTCATTATCTCGGGTTTGGCCTTTTCATGTTTAATGACGGGTCAGAAGGAGCGTACAAGCTGAAATGGAGATGAGGGAGCTGAGCGATGGGGAGTCTGATCGCTGTCTGTGAGCCCTGCTACCCCCGGTGGGACTAAAGGAGGCTGTTCACTCCATCTCGCTCATTAGAGGGCTAGTTGCCAATTGATCTAGGGATCCCATTAAGATGGGTCTTGAAGGATGTCATGATGTCGGCTTCAACAGCATGGCTGGGAGGCTTGTTCCACACTCCCACAACCCTTTGTGTAAAGAAGACCCCCCC